GATATGGATTAGTAGCTGGAATATAAATTGGTTCATCTACTTTGGAAAACAATTTGCCATTTTCTAGTAACTCTGACATAGAAAATGCCTCTGACATAGGACTGGGCAACCCTGCCTTTACCCATGTGATACAGAGAAACTATTAGGAGTTAGAAACAAGTGTCATTGGCAGTAGAATGGATAAATAAGATGTGGCATATCCATACTTGAAATTCTATGCAAAAGTGAAAATACATAGATTATAGCTACCTAAAACAACATGAATAACTTAAGACATCAATATTGAGCCCAAAATTCTAGGATAGCGTATCAATGTAAATAGTATTTATTTATTTAAAAAGCTAAATAATATATATTTTTATTAATATAAGCAGGTGAGAAAACTGAAGAAAAGCAAAGGACTGATAAAGAACAACTTCAGAGAGGGAATGGGATATGATTGTGAATCTTCAAGGGAAAGAGTAATGCTCTTTTCTTCATTTGGATGATGGATACTTCTAGGGTTTTTTAATAATCAATGTATATTTTTATAAATACTCTTTCTTATCTGCTCAATATTTAATAGTATTGCTCAAAATCATTTAATAGGCACACAAAATTCTTATTATTTTAGTTTTTTTAGATTAAGAATTTCAGTGGAACGGTGTTTTCTTGACTAATGCTTCTCTGTGAAATGATACAACGCAATGGCAACTTTTAAAAAACCAACTTCTTTTGGAGGGAAGTTGTAACTTAAAATTTGGTTTCTAACGGATTATCCACAGGAAGGTAAATGGCAATTGATTTTATTTTTTGTGTAACACTATTAAATGTCTTCCTTGATTGTGAAAACTCTGCAGTTTTACAGTGGTTTTTCTTCTTTAGATTCTCTTTTCTTCCCTCATCATTATAGGCTCTTTGTTTTTGTCCTCTGTTCCTTGAAAGAAAAATGGGGTGTTTAGTAATTGTGTTTGTTAGTTTTTCCTCAAACAGGGCCTTTCCAAAGTGAAATCCATTTTCTCCTCCCCAGAATAGCTACATACTAAATAAAGGAGTCAGCTTATTTGGAGAAGATGACAGTGAGGTAGAAATGTTTTCAGTACTCACTCTTCTATTCCTTGAGGCCCTTCTCTTATTCCCTTCTCACATTGCACGGGGTGCTTTTCCATGGCTCCTGACCTCCAGTTAAATTCCATGCCCATATGGAAGATGTCCCAAAACTGATTTCATGGGTCCAATCCTGAAACTTCAAAGGAATAAAAAACTAAAGCAAAAGCAAAAACAAATATAAACACATCTTTGAGTTACATAGAAGACATTTGACTTTTAACACAATTTTTCTTTTTCCACAAACATTTGCTGATTACAGTATACTTATTCCCTGCAATTTTAAATCAAGAGTTAAGTGAACTTTGTCACTATATACAAGTATTTTTGTTTGGAAAATAGGGTTAAAATATATTCTGGCCTTTAAAATGACAGTTTCTTGTAATTGTAGGGAAGTCTAGGCAAGTTGGTGTAGAAATTAAGTTAGAGTTTCAAAATTAACTTTAATTACATAAATAATACGTTGGTTCACCCCTGATCCATGGATATGTTCCAAGACCCCCAGTGGGTGCCTAAAACTGAGGATAGTGTCAAACCTAAAATGTACTATGTTTTTTTTTTCTGTACATACAAACCTTTTCACTTAAAGCATGTTATATCTTCTCTATGGCTTTTTCAAGTTGCAACATCACTATTCTGCTTTGGGGCCATTATTAAGTAAAATAAAGGTTACTTGGACACAAGTGTCATGATACCATGACAGTGGGTTTAATAATCGAGAATGCTACTAAGTGACTGACTAAGGTACAACACCACCTACAATGTAGAGATGCTGGACAAAGGGATGATTCATGTCCCAGGTGGGATGGCATGAGATCTCATCAGAAGGGCATGCCGTTGAAAACCTATGAATTGTTTCTGGAATTTTCCATTTAATACTTTCAGACCACAGTTGGCCGCAGATAACTGAAATCACAGAAAGTGAAACTGTAGATGAAGGGGGCTTATCCATATACTGTATATAATAACTCTTTTCATCATGTTAAACTTAAAACATTATGGATAAGGCAGGGGTCCCTTTTGACTAGTACTCCGAAACCAGTACTTTTCTCAAATGTAATCCTATTTTCAGTTTGGTTATGGCTCCTCCGAATTTTCATTTCTACATTACATTCATATATACATACATATATGTGTACTTACATACATGCATGTATATATATATGTATGTACTCGTAGAGAATGTTTTATGTTTTATCTTTATTTTATAATGATTTTTTTCTTTGTCAGTTAATATAGATCTATATATTTTTTTGAGGGTATACAGGTTTCATGGTATGGACTTAGTATAATTTAGCCATTACTGACTAATGCACATTGGGTTTTTTGTTTCTTCTGCTATTACAAAAAATGCTGCATTGATTATTTTATGTGTGTGTGCATATGTGGGTGGGTGTATTCTGGATACCAATCATCAGTTTGTTAAACATATAGCAAGTATTTTTCTAGTCTGTCTCTTATGTTCAAATATGATTATGCTTTATGCTTTTTTTTAATGAGAAGTCTTAAGCTGACCTCCTAGGATCATAAACATAGTCTCTTATATTTTAAAGCTTACATTTATAGTTTTGTTTTATAACATTTAGTTCTTTAATTCATCTGAAACTTATTGTGGAGAATAGTATGAAGTAGGAACCTAAATATACTTCCTAATGACTACCAGTTGTTTTCACACCATGTATTGAATCATGAATCACTGATAGAAATTATCTCTATCATTTACTACTACAATGACTACTAACCAAAATTGAAGTACATACTAGGACTGACACTATTCTAAATACTTTCCAAGTACTATCTCTTAATCTTCACACCTACCTATTTCACAGTTGAGGAGTGATGCACAAAGAGATGAATTAAGTGACTGCCTAGTATAACACAGCTGCTAAGTAGTGGAACGTGGAAGTTAATCCATGAGTCTAGCTCAAGAACCCATGTTCTTAACCATATATAAGCCTGACACTTCGAACTGACAAATTTGTTTGCTATTTCCCAGGCAGCCTGGGCTAGTAATTGCTGAGATTTTTTTACTTCTGGGATCATTTTTGAAAATTTAGTGCTAGAGGTATGGAGACCAAATTGTGGCTTAAAAAATTGAAGACAGTCATGGAAATAAGGGTAAATCCCAGTAAAAACAGATTATTTTCTCAGGTTTATTTTAGCATACTATCTGATAACAGAGAAGGCATGAGATCTTTAAAATTTTTTATGAATGGCATCTAAAATTCTAGGGTATGACCAATTATACAAGTGAAGCTTATTACTTGATTGAGTAAAATATTGGTGCCATTAGGAGTTTTATTTAATACTGAGATGATTACCACTTTATTATTTTCAGAATTCCTTGTAATCTTTTTCACTTAGTGTAAATATGAAATGATAGAATAATTAGGGGATTTATCGTCAGACTAACCTGGATTGGAATTCTAGCTCTTGTACATACTATACATAATTCCTTGAGCTAGTAATTGAGCATCTCTCAATTTCCTTTTTATCATCTTTAAGTTAGGCAATAATACCCAGGGGTGGTATGATACTTAATAACATAGTATTTGTAAAGTTCCTATCAAGATAAATAGTATGTAGTAAATTCTCTGTACACTTAATTTCCTTTCTAAAATAAGCATATGAAAGCCCTTGGCTTAGATTAATAATTTGCTTTTCCCATATACAGGGTCTGGCACAAGTAATACTTTTTTTATTATAAAATCTTTTATTATAAAAGCATAAGCATGTAATTCTTTAACATAATATCTGCTCAAGCACACCATATGACATTTTAGATGAAATGTTCAAATTAAAACTATAAATTATTACACCCGTATTATTATTCTATCAGCCACACTCAAGCAGGTGTTACTTTTGTATATCTCTTAATAGAGGAATAGAATAATTTTTAATTTGGGATATTTTAAAGAAACTAAAGAATTTCTTAGCTAAATGTTATTAATAGATTTCCCTGTCAAATAACTAAATTCAAACAATTTATCTCTGTACTTATTTCCATGTTTGACCATTCTAGGAGGCAGAGACAGCTTTTTCTAGAAAAAGAGTTTTGAGGCCCTCTCCATCTGTGAGATGGCATACTATAATTTAAATGTTTTTCTATGATTTCTAAATGTGCTTTTAAAATCAACCACTTAGATGCCACACCATTATATATGCTGTATTAATAAGGTGAAGTGTTGAATCAGATGGGCTCTGACTCCTTATAACTGTAATTTCTTCATTTTCAGAAGTGCACATTATCTAAGCACTTTTTCCTAAAACAGATGTCAAGCTCATCTTTCATTTTTATTAGCTGGTCTCCAAATAACCTTACAGTCACATGCTTTATTAAAGAGCTTAATAAACAATTTTATATGATAGATTGTGAAATGAACTTGTCAAATATTGTGTTGTTTTATATGACATTTAATAATTCACTTACTGAAAGAAATAAAATATTAAAATTTTCTCAAATCATTTAGAAGTTACATTAGATTGTATAGTTATTGTATTATCATTTATAATTATCAGTGTATTTTGTTTTATACATGTGTTTATAAAGTGCTGATGAGTTATGGCCTGGGAGAAAGATTATGTACAGTAATGAATAACTTATTTTGGTGTCAAGAAGCAACATGTAGCATAAATATGTATTTTGTGGTTGAATAGGAAAAGCATGTTTTTCACTTGATATTAGCCAAAAGGCCCAGAAACAGAAAAAACATGTTTTTCAATTTAAGTGGGCAAGTGTGGTATGTGGTAAAGTATAACTTTTACGAGTCACATGGAAGCTCTGTCAGAAAAAATTTATAAAATGAGAATGATCAGTAACTGTTTTCATAAAATGAAGAGATCTTAAAACCATGCAGTGCTCTCTGAAATGAACGAATGTGCTGTCTTGTTTCTCTGCCTCGCTTCTCCTCCAGGTGCCGCAGTAGCAGGCATTTACAGAGTAGCAGGGAAGAACATGGCCCCCTTGGAAGCGCTGGTATGGGGCGTTGGACAGACTGTACTGACATTGATCATCTCCTTTTCAAGGATCCTCGCTACACTTTGAGGTTTCTGTGGAAATGACTTACTTCACATAAAGAAACAGATGTACAGATTCTCTGAAAAATGGCACTGTTAGCAAGTGGGAATGAAATTACACAAGAATCTTGGAAGGAGCAGGTCGGAATGTAAGGCCTTGAGCTGTGTGGAAAGATTGCCCTCTGGTGTTCAAGTGATTGCACTACCGCACTGCACCTTATGTGCCTCCATCCCAGGCAAGGCGAATTACACTATGAGAAGCTACAAGAAAAAGCACCTTGTTTAGCTGCCAATCAGGTTAACACTGGTGTTGAATCATCATTTTTAACAGTGTTGTGTTTAAGTTACAGGGACATTTTGAAGAATTGATATATGTGCCAAATTCTTCTTTTTTTACAAATTGATCATGTGACAGTTTGCAAGTGTAGATGTAGATGAGTGCTGTGAACATGTTTGACTTGAATTCAGGTAATGTAGTGAGATTTTTGTTTTGTAAAGCTAAGTCCTGTATGAGTGCTGAATACTGAATCATTTATTATGGGATAAATTATTTGATTTTCATTGTTGAACGTTTCTGGGATTTAGGGCTTTAATATGTTTAGGCATTGTTATTTAATTTATGTGGAAAATAATACTTAATGGAAAACTAGCTGAACTCTTAAGGACTCAAAGTAGATCTATAGGGTGCATCCTTTTCACTCACTTATATAACACCCTTTTAATAGTTTCCCTCATACATAAATGTTCTATTGATATAAATTCAAAAACTTTATGGGTAACACACACTGATTATATTTCGTGTGTCATAAAAATATCATTTGAAAGTTTTCTTATAAATTTTGTTAGAAGTCTGAAATGCATGTTCTTTGACCCTCCTAAAGAAAGTTTTTGCCTTGTATCTCGTGGAGAAAACATCTTTATAACTAGTATCTCAGTGGGATTATATTACTTGTTGCAAATGTCTGGGTTTTTGACAAAATGTAAACAATTTTTCATTCTGGAGTATTAAATATATTTAAGAATGGCCTAAATTAGGCTGTGAAAACAAAAAGCCTCATTTGTAGATAAGTACAGTAAGTTATATAGGGAGATTAAGAAATTCTCTTACTTTGGATATGTGGTAACATACTTTCAACTAAGAATTGGAGAATTTAGTAAATAATTTTAAAATTTGGCAGTTATTCTCAGTATATCAAAACAGTACTGAAATATATTTGGATGTTTCATTTTAGTTGTTCAGTTCTTGATTATTTAAGTTTATTAGAATGTGAGGACATTTATTAGAAATGAAAAAGCCCTTAGTATAAAATATTTTAAGAAGTTTTGGCAACCTATACTTATTTTTAAGAATATAGGAAGTAAGGGAAACAGAACCTGATTGAACTTACCTTCTACTGATAATTTTTAGTACCAAGTACAATTAGAAATGTGCTAACTCAAAGGAAGAGCCATTGCAGAGAATATGAATTAAGGACAATCCAAAAAAAATAATCTGCACACTCTAGCCTTGCTTTTTATAACGTGATATGGTAAAAAGTAGGTTTCTATTAGGTCCCAAATTTAAGACCTTTGTTACCCACACTACTTTTCCTTTACCAAATAAACAAACAAAAAAGCAAACAACCCCCCTCCCCCCAGGAAACATAACAACTTAACAGTGAAAAATTGGTAGGGGCAAGCGGTAGGTACTTTTACCAGTAGGGAAGCCAAATTGGGGGATTTTCTAATGCTGTGGCTTAGAAATTTGACTTAAAAAGAAAACAGCAGCTATGCATTCTTAGAGATCTTTGATCTTAAAATTAATTTTATATTATGTATAATCCTGAAATTATTTTCATGTGTTCTTTATATTTTTGATGATTTTCCAATTGAATTTAGGCATAAATTTTCCAAATTGATTTGATTTCTCCTTTTCTGTTAGACTTGAATTTAATGTTCTTTCTTTACTTTGGCTAATCTGTCAAAAAACTTAGTGTTTGAATTCTTTGAGAGGAATTACCAATAACATATTGAAGATATACAAAATGAATATTTTAACATATGGTTATGTTACAATTTAAGAAAGTTATGGTAAGGTAATATGGAGCATGTGGTTTAGAATCCAAAATCAACCAGAAAATAACTTGGATACATAAATGTATGAATGCATGGACCAAAGAGATTTAAACTCCTGTTTTTACTCTAAAATGAAAGTATAGCTGGATGGTTAATAATTAATTTCTAGAATGTCCTAATCTCATTATCAAGTTACTCTACATTATGAATTGTGTGTGTGTGTGTGTGTGTGTGTGTGTGTGTGTGTACTTTTAACTTGTGGGGGAATTTTTTGGTTTCTTTGCTGTTTTCAGCGATTCCCATTGGGATTTTGTGCAACTGTCACTCTTTTGATGTTTTGAAATACAGTTGAATAGTGTGAAATGATGAAATTGTCTTAATAGCTATTTCTATGCTGAGTTTTTTTTTAAGTTAGTGGTTTTCTTATAGAGACAAGAGCATTTAATGATATATATCTACACACATATATATCATTATATACGTATATATAAAGCTGCTATGTGAATAGTCAAATTGGAAAACTTTTGTTCAGTGAATACATTCATGTTATAATGAAGAATTTGTTCAGTTGAATGATCTTTTAAATAGGTATGAGGATGTTTGAGATTTTTTAATTTGGGTAGTTTTCTTGGGGAGGGGTTAGTAGTGCTGGAGATCCTTGTTTTTGATATGACAAAAGCCCTTATTGATGTATTTGTGTTACACCTTCTTAAAAATATGTCTGTGAGTAACAGTAAATTTTTTGTGTGATAAATGCAGGAAGGACAGGGGAAATCCTCTGTAGTTTACACGTCTTTATTTAAAAAAAAAAGTTTAGTAAAATATTGCTGACAGTGAAATCAGTTCCCCAAAGGAGATATTCCTATATGCCCTAACTAATTATTATTTAACATACTGGTAGAAATATCCATACACCAGAATTTAGTCAGGGCCCTATCTAAACTACAAATAATGCTTAAAACCTTTAAATGAAGAAGGTGCAAGTAATCTGTCCCACGGGATAATTCCATTGGCTGTCTAGAATAAAGAAAGTCCTAAAAGATGGCTATATTCAGTGCTTGCAGCTTAATTATTCTTATTTTAGATCTTAATGTTTACCATACAGTGTTATAATTTGTTACCCAGTGTACTGTGTACTGTCTTAGTATTTGCGGCATTTAGTGTATCCATTGCCCTAAAAAGCGTAAAAGTTTTCATGTTCACTTTAAGTGAGAAGTAAAGAAATGAGCAGCCTTGTATATCATGTATTTATGATGTAATGGACAGGGGTAATTTAAAATCGAAGAACATTATTGGAAAAGTTCATGAGTACTTTAATTAATATGAAGAGCGTGGGGCTGACATGTTAATATACCCAAGCTGACACACATGAACTAATTCAATTTTTAAAATATTTTCGACCTACTATGTACAAAGCACTCTACTGAGTATTTTCTATAGGAAGTGCAAGGATGACTAAGAAAGGATTCCTGCCCTTGAGTTCACCAAGAACTGGCAGGAGAGTTTCAAATCCTAAAAAGATTGGGACAACATTTTGCTTCCTAATTCTATTTAAGAGTTCAAGTCCTCCCCTCCCTCCACCCAAATTCTGATTTTTCCAGTTTACCTGCCAATAGGGTTTCGGTAACTGAGAAAGTATTGCTGTCACAGAGTGTGAAGAGAATACTAGCATCTAAACCAAAGACATAAATTTGAATCCAGGCCCTGTTACTTGTTGACTTTGTTTATGAATGGCAAAATAGTAAATGTTTGACAGTAAATGATTGATAGTCAATAGTATTTTTTTTAAATTATGTTTTGCAACAGTAATTAAATATGCTGGTTTGAAAAATCCATCTACTTTCATTTCCACATTGTCCCTGCATATATTTTAAGAAGAAAAAAATTAAAATTATTCCTCTTACAATCTTGCTCCCTTTACCTCCTCTTTATTTTTTAAATCAACAGATGCTTACCTAAGAGCATTTTTTGGAGTTGCTGGTGGTAGAAATGGCCAGAGCAAGCAGGATTAAATGACAGGTTGTGTTTACCACGGGTTAAAATAGGAAAAGGGTAGAGGTAGCCAGTGTTTACTCCATTACCTTACCCTCTTTCTTTTGGATTCATTCAACCAGCAGGCATTGAATCTCTACTACATGCAGCTTACTGCCTTGTTTAAGGGATGGAGAAGTGTCTCTTCTATTGCCCACCCCTCTTCTGCACCCTGGGTATTAGCTTCAAGGTATAATGCAAGTTCTGTAGGGAAAGAGAATTGGGCTTCAGTATCTACTGAGTCCTTCACTCCATGGTCCAAGGTGCTTAAACTCTAGTTTTGTTTTTTAGCTTTTTTTTTTTTTAATCTAAAAAGAAATACTGTTATTTTAAATTTATGTCCATTTTGTAATTCAACAAGTAACTATTACAATTTTTTCTCTCATAAAATTTTAATCAGAACCTCTTCGAAGAGTTGTTTGTTTTTAAGATGTGAAAAATGTGGAAAGTTACTGAAGGAATTCTAGTAGGCCTAGATTGCAGAGGAGTTTGGCAACACTTGGGTGACTGAGTAAATTGCGGTTTCTTTTAATAGTCAGGGTGAAAATCTCAGTGGTTAAAATTGACTAGTAATCCAGTGGTCTTGTAGTTTCCCTTAACTGTTGGTCCTTTTTATAATATTTGAAGGGGAGGCTCTCCAGGATAAAAAGGACATTATTTGATTAAAAATAATAAAAATTTTCCAACATGTGGCAGCATTTTGTAGCAGAGGGAAGTCTAAAGATAGGAATACACATTGGAGGAGTAATGCACAAAACAAAGGCTTATCTGATGAAGTACCCTACATTATGTGAACAATTTTCCTCCCTTGCATTAAGAGTATATACTACACTGTATGAGTATGTGTACTGCATGTTTCCAAAATGCTGTGTTTCTTTCTCTGTGAGACAACTCTCCACGAAGCATTTTGAAGCCATCATTACTTTTCATGTGTGTGTGGTGGTGCTGGGTTTACCCTTCTAAGGTAAGGATCTCTATTCATTGTAGGCAATCCAATGTTTTTGAGGAGGTTGCTGAATAAATTATCTTAAAATGTATGTGTGAATTTGTTTGGAGGAAATAGTGCTTAATATATAAAGTATTTTCAGTAAATGTGGAAATGTATCAGTTAATACTTTATTAAATTAGTAGAAACACCCAGATTTCTGAGTGAACTGAACTGTGAACTGTAACCATCTCTTCCCTGAGTTTAGAAGACTCATTTGCACATTCTTTACATTCATTGCACATATGTTGAAGTTACTTATAATAACCCTTTCTTGATTTTGAGAACTAATTTAGCAATTTCTTAAAAATCTCCCTCCCTTTTCCATACGGTTATCATATGTTTTGGTTTAAACATATGTACAGTTTGTTGATGGAATCAGAAGTGCTGGTTTTGAAGAGAATGTGCGTAACGCCTTATGGTTATGCAACTATAATCTTACTGGAAAAATAGATACTATAAGCAAGTCGAGAGAGCATGAACCACTTACATATTTTTTTAGATTCTATACTGCACCCATCCATAGGTATCCCCCCTGAATAGAAATATGACTGCCCCCTTTTAGGAGTGCATTGAGATATGTAACTGAAACTGGAAAGCAGTGTAATATAAATATATAGAAAAAGGAACTATAATGCATAATTACCATAACCATAACTCCTTTTCTCCTAAATATGTTACATTGTGGCAGCTTCTAAAAAGGATCATTTTTTAAAGAGCCCTGTGTAGGTGAATGTTAACTTGATGGTATCACAAATGAGAAAAATTCCCTTTGTTTTTAAATTAGTGTGTTTGCACATTATCACTAAGTATATCTGGGAAGGGACATTTTAAATTTTTCTCCACAGAGCCCTGGCTGGTGTGGCTCAGTGGATTGAGTGCCGGCCTGAGAGCCAAAGGGTGGCTGGTTTGATTCCCAGTCAGGGCACATGCCTGGGTTGTGGGCCAGGTCCCCAGTAGGGGGCACACGAGAGCCAACCACACATTGATGTTTCTCGTCCTCTCTTTTTCCCTCCCTTCTCTCTCTAAAAATAAATAAATAATATCTTTAAAAAAATTTTTTTTTCTCCACAGAAAACAAAATAGAGGCACCTGTTTGAATAGTAATAAAAATGACTTACTTTCAATAATGGATGAGTTGATAGTCTAATTATTGACACTTTCTTAGTATTTGTGATATTGGATATATTTATGATGGAGGAATTTTTAAAAATTCTGGTACTCTACACACACACACACACACACAAGCTCTACACATTCAGATGAACAATATGAGATTTCACAGTATTTTTCATTTTAGTCAAACTTGGTAAAATTCATGAGTCTACCATCAAGTATTAACTCCTGACTCTAGTCATTCTAGGATGAGGCAATCCATTTTATCTTGAAGTTAACCAGCTAAAATGTATTTATTTAAATAGCAGAAATATACTTTACCTGATAGAAATTGAAATACTCACTTTCAAATTATGTTAACTCTCAGACCACTGATGAGTCATTTAGTAACCAGTTTTTAAAAACTAAGTGATGTTTCAGTTCCTTGGAAGTTAAGATATTTTTTCAGAGTGAATCTAGTCAGATCCAGGATGGGTATGCCTGTTGATGGGGATTCAGAGTTGAATAGTGCAAGGGAAATAACTCCTTATGGTTTAATAAAAGTCAGTTACTTTGCTGTTGACAGTGGCAGATGACAACTACTTTCATGTTGTATTTGTCTCCTTTTTTTTTCTGTTTTTTTAAAAAGTAAGTTTGAAATGGGGAAAAATGTAGTCAAAACGATTAAAAGTGGGATTTTAAAATTTAATTTTGTTGTAAACTAGAGATTCTAGTAAAAACAGCGTTAGTTTTATATTGTAGTACAAGGGCAGACACTTTATGTAACCTTTAGAAATATGTTTACCATCAGGGATTTATTTTTGCTATCAAAATACTTAATGTACTGTGAAGCTCAGAGACAGGAAGAATAAATGTTGGAGGGGTAACGCACAAAAACAAAGGTGTATCTGATGATGTGCCCTATGTTATGTGAACACAGTTTTCCCCCTTCTGTTAAGACTATAAACTACACTGTATGAAAATATGTACTGCATGTTTACATAATATAGTTTAATTTTGAAGGATTATTTTTCAAAAACTATGTTTATGTATAATACCTAACAAGCTGTAAATATTGTATACTATTGATTTTTAATTTTATATAAGCAA